TACTAAATGCCTTTTCCCATTCTCCTATGAATTAATCTTATGCTTCTTGCATCTGAAAAACCTATGTGGGGATGTGGTGCCTTGAATTTACTTGATAAGACTTTTCTGTCTAAAGTCTTCTTAATTCCCACCAAGTGATTGGGTGAGACCATGCAAATAAGGTATACAGGACTCTAAAGCTGGGATTGGTTCATTTTGCCCTCCAGCTAGGTTTAAAATGAGCCATCTCAGAAGAAGAGAAAGAAGATCCCAGCACCATCAAGAAGGAAACCATGAGATCCCTACATAGAAAAACAGCAACAGCAGAGGTGAAGGCAGAGACAACGGCAGAGGCAGTGGCATGGAATGACAGAACTGCTTGATTCTATAGACTGAGTAAAGCTGAGCGCCTACAGAGAGGTGACTGGCTTACAGAATGTGCCCTTTGTACATTCATAGCCTGACTAAAAGAGCTTTGCATCACTTGCCAGAGCAGGGGGGAGGCCAAGGGACCACAGGCTGAGAGGCTGAAGACAAGATTGAGGTATGCCTGCAGTATGGCATACCTGACTGGAGAACTTCTGCATTCCGAGTTAGTTTTGATCCTGAATGTTAAGAGTCCTGGTGTTGCACTGCAGGCTAATGCGTCAGACTGCAAGGTCATTTGAACTTCAAGGTCGGTGGTTCAAGCTCACCAGCTGCTCCATGGAAACCCTATACAGGATCGCTATGGGTCAGAATCAACTCGAAAACACTTATCAACAACAACAACAAGATGACGATGGTTAAAAGAGCCATCTCAAGTAATTTCACTGTACCACAAGGATATAATCTTTTAAGATACATTTTGCTTTTGTTATGCATTACTTTTAGCATAATAATAAGCATGCATTGCTAAAAAAAATTAAACAGTAAACAAACACCCATGACTGAGGAATACACATTTCTAGTGTGTTCCTTCCATATTTCTTTCCCTTTGCCACCCCTCTTTTTCCAATGTACTCATTAACATAATTTTGATTCCCATTCTCCTCTTTTTGCAGTGTTTATAGCATTATTACATATTCCCTTACACAGTTTATGTGTATTTTCTTTTCAATTTTTCCTTAACAAAAAAGAAATATTTAATGTTGTTTTCTGGATGTTACTTCTTTACAACAAGCATTATGCACCTATGTGGTTACATGAAGCTCTTTGTTGTTATATGAAGCTCTGTTTTATTTTCATTATTTTATGTTCACCCCATGATCATAATATATCATGGGGTGAACATAAAACAATCAATTTATCTATTCAGTTATTACTGAATATTTGTGTTTGCTTCTAAATTTTATTATCACAAATATGGATTTTATTTATTATCTCTGTGAATATTTGGTGCCCCTATTCTAAAGTTTATCTTGAGAGTAAGTCTAGAAAAGAATTTTCCATTGAAAGACATTTAGGCTGGCGCCATATCTTTGCTATTGTGAATAGTCACTCTGATCAACATAGGTGTGCATAACCTATTTGAGTCCTTGTTTGTATTTCTTGTGGATATATACCAAGTAGAGGGATTGCTGTCATACACTATTTCTATTTTCAAGTTTCTGCAGAAATTCCATATCTTTTGCCACAGAGGTTAAGCCATTTTACATTGCCACCAGCAATGGAACCCATAAACATCGATATCTTAGGCATTAGTGAGCTGAAGTAGACCGTTATTGACCATTTTGGATCTGACAGTCACATGGATTACTATGCTGAGAATGACAAATTGAAGAAAAATGGCTTTGCATTCATCATCAAAAAGAACATATGAAGATCTGTCTTGAAGTACAACACTGTCTGTGATAGGACAATATCTATACATCTAACGGAAGACCAGTTAATACCAGTATTATTCAGATTTATGCATCAACAACTAAAGCCAGTAATGATGACACTGAAGAATTCTACCAATGTCTTCTGTGTGAAATCGATCAAACATGAAATCAAAATGTTATGATAATTGCTGGTAATTGGAATGCAAAGGTTGGAAACAGAGGATCAGTAGTTGGAAATTGCGACTTCGGTGATAGAAAGGACACTGGAGATTACATGATAGAATTTTCCAAGGCCAATGACTTCTACATTGCAAATATTGTTTTTTAAACAACATAAAAGATGACCATATATATAGATGTCACCAGATGGACTACATTTGTGTAAAGAGATGGTGGAAAAGCTCCATATCATCAGTCAAAACAAGGCCAGGGGCAGACTTTGAAACAGACCATCAACTGCTTACAGGCAAGTTCAGGCTGAAGCTGATGAAAATGAGAACAAATCTATGAGAGCCAAAATATGACCTTGAATGTATCCCACATGAATAGAGAGATCCTCTCAAGAGTAGATTTGATGCATTGTATAGTAAAGACTAAGACCAGAAGAGTTGTAGATGACATCAAGAACATCTTACAGGAAGAAAGCAAAAGATCATAAGCCAAAAAATAAGGAAAAAACAAAAATGGATGTCAAAAGACACTCTGTAAGTTGCTCGTCAGTACAGAGATGCTAAAGCTAATGGAAGAAATGAGGAGGTAAAAGAGCTAAATAGAAAATTTAAAAGGTCAGCTCAAGAAGACAAAGTCAAACATTATAATGAAATGTGCAAAGATCTGGAATTAGAAAACCAAAGGGAAGAACACACTCAGCGTTTCTCAAGCTGAGGGAATTGGAGAATATATTCAAGTCTCAACTTGCAAATTGAAGAATTGTAAGGGCAAAATATTGAATGATACAGAAAGCATCAAAAGATGAGTCAAGGAATACCGAGTCACTCTACCAAAAAGAAATTGTCAGTAGTCAAACATTTGAAAAGGTAGCATATGATTAAGAGTCAATGATATATTGACTCATATATATATATATATATATAAGACTCATATATAAGAAGCCCATGGTATATTATTAGCAAAGAATAAGGCACCAGGAATTGATGGCATACCATTTGAAATCTTTTAACTGATGGAGCACTGGAGGCACTCACTTACCAATGCCAAAAAATTTTGAAAACAGCTATCTGGCCAAATGACTCAAAGAGTTCCATATTTGTGCCAATTCTAAAGAAAAGTGATCTAAGAGAATGCAGAAATCATAGAACAATAGCATTGACAACAACAACATTGATATCACATGCAAGTAAAATAATGTGAAAACAGTTGCAACCATACACTGACAGAGAACTTCCAGAGCTTGAAGTCATATTCAGAAGAGAAGGTGGAATGAGGGATATCACTGCTAATGTCAGATGGATCTTGGCTGAAAGCAGAGAATACCAGAAAGATGCTTACAGTTTACCTGTACTTTATTGACTGTGTAAAGGCTTTTCAATTGTGTGGATCATGACATGCTCTGGACAAAACTGCAAAGAATGAGCATTCCAGAGCACTTAATTAGGAATCTGTACATAGGCCGAGAGCATTTATTCGAACAGAACAAGAGAATAATGAACAGTTTAAAATTAGGAAAAGTATACACCAGGGTTGTATTCTTTCACAATACTTATTCTTTCTGTATATTGAGCAAATAATCCAAGAAGCTGGAATATAGGAAGAAGAACCTGGCATCAGGATTAGAGGAAGACTCATCAACAACTGCAATGTGCAGATGATATAACCTCGTTTGCCGAAAGTGAAGAGGACTTAAAATACTCACTGATTAAGGTAAAAATACCACAGACTTCCCTATGTGCTGAACCTAAATATAAACAAAACAAAAATCTTCACCACTGGATCAATAAACAGCATCCATTTAAATGAAGAAAGATTAAAGTTGTCAAAGACTTCATTTTGCTTGGATCAACAAACAACACTCTGAAGCAGCAGTCAAGAAATAATGTATTAGGCAAACCTGCTGCACAAGATGTCTTTAAAGTGTTCAAGAATAAAGGCATCCGTTTGAGGACTACGGTATGTATGCCTGATCCAAGCCATGGTATTTTCAGTAGCCTCATATGCATGTGAAAGTTGGACAGTGAATAAGTAAGACCATAGAAGAATTGATGCATCTGAGTTATGGTGTTGGAGGAGAATATTAAAAGTACCATAGTCTGTCAAAAGTACAAAGCAATCTGTGTTGAAAGAAGTACAGCCAGGATGCTCCTTGGAAGTCAGGGTGGCCAGATTTCATCTCTCATTATTTAGACATATAAAAATGGACTAGTACCTGGAGAAGGATATCATGTTTGGTAAGTGGAGGGTTGGTAAAAAAGAGGAAGGCCCTAAATAAGATGGATTGGCACAGTGGCAGCAGTAATGGCAGTAATGGGTTCAAACGTAGCAAAGACTGTGAGATTGGTATAGCACTGACAGCAATGTTGGAGGGTACGGTTCTCTCCACACCCTAACGAGCAATTTGTTGTTTTCTGGTCTTTTTTGTTTATTATTTTTATTTTGCTATTAACGTTGCTGTGACATGATACCTCATTTTTGTTTTGATTTGCATTTTTCTAATGGCTAATGCTCATGAACATTTTTTCATGTTTGTTCGCTGCTTGGATGTCTTCCTTGTTGAACTGTCTGTTCATGTCCTGTGCCCATTTTTAAATTAGGTTGTCTTTTTCTTTTAGAGGTGTTATTGTTTTCTTTACATTTTACAGATGAGGACATTGTCTGCTATACAGTTGCAAAAAAATTTTTTCCCAGTCTATTTACTCCCTTTTTGCTCTTTTGTCTAAATCTTTTGATGCACATTAAGTTTCTAATTTTTAGGACATCCCATTCATCTATTTTGTCTTCTGCGGTCTGCTTTTAATAACATTTGATAATATGTTTATACTATATATTAGAGCTCCTATTATGCCATGTGTTAGAGCTCCTAGGTTTGTCCCTATTTTTTCATGGATGATCTTTATGGTTCTAGGTATTACATTTAGGTGCTGTTCTGTTTATGAAGTGTGTGCTTTAAAATCATTAAAAGAAGTAACTAAGCATACTATAAGAGATCATAAAATGTCTTCACATAAAAATGACACATTAAGAGAAAATTTATTTCTTCAGGTAGTTTTGCACTCAATTCGTATCAATAGCAATCAGGCTCCTCTGCTGTGGTCAAAAATTTTTGATAACAAAGGAAGAATAATGCCACTTAATGCATATGCACTTGATTTCTATAAGCATGGTTCTTTGGAAGGATTAGCCCAGGACAACAGGTATGTTTCATCTTATAAGGTAACCACAATGGGGTTGGGGTGGGGGGTTTA